GTATATGCGAGCAGGCGAGCAGCAGCATGCGCCGCGGGGCAGCATCGTGTCCTGCATCAGCACTGAGGTCAGCTATGTGGACGGCAAGGTTGGGGCGCCTATGGGCAGCTGCATGGCTGCATGACCGCGTGCGCAGCGATAAACACGCCTCACAGAACTGCACATACATGAGTACTCAAGACTGTACCGTACATGTATGTTCAATTCAACATTCACTGAGATCCAAGATTTAGGAGCACATATTATATGGTGGGCGCAAGCATAGCATCTTGCATATATCTCATACACAACGACGAAGCAGATGCTGAATCAACAGCACAGTCAGCACAAATCCACGCATGCATCCGCCGGCTCAGACCTCCGACTGTTCTGATTGCGATCCTCCGACTCAAACGGATGCGCTGCGTGAAGATCTCGCAAAAAAAAGCCTTACTGGGAGCCTGAACACGCAGCGGGACTGCTCGATCAGGAATGCTAATTGATGGCATCGGACGCATACTGAAGGACTGCATACGCTCACTCGCCATTGAGGCTCAAGACTTGTCGATGACTGCCCAGTATAGCTACCTCCATCCATCATGGTGCCTGCATGCCACTTAACAAGGGAGAAGATCATACTCGAGGATGTTCTGCATGCAGTCGCGAGAGCGGTGGTGGTGCTTGTGCGCAGACTGCTTAGTCAAGCTCTTAGTCGATGATTCAGACCGCCATGCAGCATTGCACGGTCATGTAGGCCAGAGTTGGCAGCCTAGAGACCAGCATGGAATTGATGGCTCGAGATTCTGCCCGAGGAAACGACTTTCCCCCTTGAGCAAGCAACGGAGACACGCACAATGTGAATGAGAGGCAATCAAGAGTTGCTGATATAGCAGCAGCATGATATGAGTCTCATCGGTCAAAAATCAAGACTCGATGCTCGATTGGGGCGGAGAGACGCAATCACAATCTTGAATCACGAATTCTGAACGATCGATGGGTAGTCAAATCTCAGAGCTCCAATCAGGACATCTCGGACGCATATGTGTGGCACACATCCTCGTGTAGCGATATCAGCGCGGCAGGTGCCGTGGTCAAGAGAACGCCATCTGTTTCGGAAGCTGTCTTGCGCCCCGCGGTCGTACCCATTCCGAGACAAATGGTCAAACACTGTGC